ACACACTGATTTTCTAGACAAGTCTAGCAAGATGCTCAGCAGCCAAATAGCTTAATACTTTTAGGGTTCGATTAACCCTCAATTTTCATTGAATCGGCTGTACAAAGGGAGCAAAACAGTACTGTTTACAGACTACAGTCACCTCCTGCATTCCCCTGAATGCTAAGGTTTAACTCCAAAAAACAGGAAAAAACATATAATCCATTAGACCACCAGACACCACCACAGAGACACAAGAAATATGAGAAACCAAGAAAATATTTTTCCTCTAATGGAGAAGAATAACACCTCTTCCTCCACAAAGAATTTAAGGGAACTCATGGAAATGTCAGATAAAAGCATTTAAAATATTCATAGTGACAAAGCTAACAGAGATGCAGGAGAATAGAGACAATGAACTCCAGAAGATGCAGGAGAAAAGAAACACCGGGTTCCAGGAGGTGAGGAAGGTCTTGCACGATCTGAAGGAGGAGACACACATCATAAAAATAAAGGAATCAAACGGGATTGTTAGAGATAAAGGCTCTAATACAGGAAATAAAAACTTCCATTGCAAATATCAAAAGCAGATTAGATCATGCAGAAGATCGAACCTCAGGTGTAGAAGATAGAACCTCTGACCTAGAAAAATTCACCAAAAAGACTGAGAAAATAACTTAAAAATATGGGAGTAACATACAAGTAATACCAGATACCATTAAATACCCAAACATTCGGCATCCCAGAAGGTGAAGAAATCAAGGCATTGATAATCTATTCCATAAAATCCTGGAAGAAAACCTTCCGAACCTAGAGCGGCACTCAAATACCCAGACTCAAGAAATACAAAGGACCCCACACAGACTCAACCAAGAAGATCTTCCCCAAGGCACATCATAGCCAGATTGACCAAAACCACAGACAGAGACAAGATTCTAAAATTGGCAAAAGAGAAATGTCAAGTTACTCTCAAAGGCTATCCCACAAGACTAATGTTGGACCTTGCAGCGGAAACAATACAAGCAAGGAAAGAGAAGATATACTCAAAATGTTAAGTGAAAAACAATTTCAACCAAGAATATTATACCTAGCAAGATTATCTCTCAGATGGGAAAAAAAGACAAAAACATTCTCAAATAAATAAAACCTGAAAGAATTTACCCACGCCATACCAGCTCTTGAAGAAGTGCTGAAGGGAGTGCTGTACTGGGAAAACTACAGTTGGACACACAGGAATAAGAGTACAGAAAACAACCAAGGGAATGGCCAGCCTAATGGTAGGCACGAGTCTGGAGCTGAACATTAACTCCCAGAGTTTAGATGGAAAAATCAGACCTCAGCCACACTGCAAATTCAACAGAAGAGACATTAATTACGTGAGTCTGAACCAATGAAACAGAATTTTTTTACTTTAGACTAAAACGTTACTGATTTTCTTCGATGCTTTCATTTCCATATTTATGAATTTTTGTCTTCTCTTCAAATGCTGATAGGTTCATCTACCTAGCATTTGAACTGAAAACTGAATCCTAACCTTTTTCCTGGCTTTAATTTTTTAAAAAGAATTATTTAATTTTGGGACCAGCAGTTAGCGTAATGGCTATGTCACTGGACTCCCACGTAGTCGACCGCAGTTCACGTCTTGGACCCAGTGGCTTAAAACTCATGCCAGGCACGTGTGCGTGCGTGCCCAAGATCCCGAGAGGAGAAGGAATTGCGGCGTGGCCAACCCCCCTGGGGGGTGATTTCTCGCTCTCTGTCTCTCTGTCTCTTTCTGACTGGTGAATGCACGCACCCTATAGCAAAAATCTCTCAAAAAAAAGAATTATTTATTTTATTTATTCATTAATTTATTTTTAATTTGATCAGAGAGAGAGAGAGAGAGGAAGCAAGAAAGCAAGCCACCAGATCTGCGACTTGAACCATGGTCAGCCATGTGGGAGTGTCTAGTGCCTTAACCATCACGCCACCTGCTGGCCCCCTGGCTTTAAGTCTTAAGGAAATTTCTCTTAATAGTTTTTTATTTTGATCTATTAAAACTAAAACTTTTTTTGAAATAAAAAAAAAAGGCATTAAAGGGACCAGCAGTTGGCATAATGGCTATGTTGCTGGACTCCCATGTAGTCGACTGTGGTTCAAGTCCTGGACCTGGTGGCTTGAACTCACGCCGGGTGCATGTGCATGCGTGCCCAAGATCCCGCGGGGAGAATGGAGGAGAAGGGATTGTGCCATGGCCATCCCCACTGGGGGGGTGATTTCTGGCTTTCTGTCTCTCTGTCTCTCTCTCTCTCTGTCTTTGAGGTGAATGAGCGCACACACCCTATAGCAAAAACCTCTCCAAATACAAAAAGCATTAATAATACCTACTAATACCTATTTAATGACTGCAGTAAGCTATATAGCCCCAGTGAGGTGCTACTTTATAGGATGTTCACTTTACTCACTGAGGTTTAAGCCTAGAGTCAGACATGCATTCATAAATATGTATATATCAGCTGTGCTTGTTATTGAAAGTCTTTAAATCAATTAAGATTTTTAGTGAACCAATAAAATGTGGGAGGAAAAGGCATGAGAAACAACTGTATATACCAGAAATAGTGTAGGAAGAGAGGTGGAACTGGCAGAGGGTGAGAGGCAGGGAATCAAGGTGTGGGGGGGAAGCAAAAGATATAAGAAACAAGAAATAGAAAATCAGTTATTGATGATAACACGTATGGTTATATCCTTGATTGAGCCACTATACAATGTATGCTGGATGGAAAATCTCATTTTGTATACTGTACTGATGTACAGTGAATTACTGAAAATTAATTAATTAAAAATATAAGAATAATTTTTTTTAAGAATTATTTTATTTTACTTATTCATTATTATCATTATTATTTTCCAGTTTGATCAGAGAGAGACAGAGAGAGAGAGGGAGGAAGTGAGAAAGCAAGCCACCAGGTCCGAGACTTGAACCATGGTCGGCCATGTGGGAGTCCAGCGCCTTTAACC